ACCGCTCCCTGCTGGGAGCCTTGGTCTTATCAGCTTGTGTACTTCACCGTTCGCTCTTGATAGCCTTGATGTGAAGAGCGTTTTGCATTACCGATCGCTCTTGGCGTCTCTGGGCCTTCGTGGGAGTCCTATTGGGGCCCTTGTCGGGCCCTCCTGGTGGCCTCTTGGTGGCCTCTTGGGGGCCTCTTGGGGCTTCTTGGGGGTCTCCGGGGGCCTCCCAGGAGCGTCTTTGGGCGAAAGGCTAGACTTTCGAGTTCATGGTCCCCCTCTTGGGGCCGTCTTGGGGCCATCTTGGGCCGTCTTGGTCGCCTCTTGGGCCGTCTGGGGGCCCTCTTGGGCCGTTTTGGGGGCCTGTTGGGAGCCTCTTGGGCCGTCTTGGGGCGGTCTTGGGGGCCTCTTGGGCCGTCGTCCAAGAGCCGAAAAGCCGTGCATGCTAAAAATGCACGTTTTCCCACAGAAAATCGATGATTTTGGCCTCCTGTTGGCCTCGTGGGACGCCTCTTGGGGGCCTCTTGGGGCTTCTTGGGGGGCTGTGGGGGCCTCCTGAGAGCGTCTTGGGGCGATAGGCTAGGCTTTTCGGTTCGTGGTCCCCCTCTCGGGGCCGTCTTGGGGCCCTCTGGGGCAGTCTTGGGCGCCTCTTGGGCCGTCTGGGGGCCCTCTTGGGGGGGCTCTTGGGAGCCTCTTGGGCCGTCTTGGGGCGGTCTTGGGGGCCTTTTGGGCCGTCGTCAACGCAGTGAAAGGCGAAAAGCCGTAGATTCTAAAAATCTACGCTTTCTTTTGGAAAATCTATGATTTGGACCTCTTGGGGCCCTCTTGGGACGCCCCTTGGGCACCTCTTGGGGCGTCTTGGGGGCCTCTTGGGACGTCTTGGGGCTGTCTTGGGCTCTTCTGGGACAGAAAAAACAATCCGAAAAACATGCAACAACCCAAAGGGAAACACCTCTTCCTCTAAACCCAAGGGGAAACACCCAAAACGGCCATTAGAGCCCAAACGTCCGCGGTACGCACCCCCCTGGATCCCACTCTTAAGGGGCTTCGCCCAAAACACAACGTCATCGCTCGTACCTCGCTCTTTCCGTTACCTGGGCCGGCACAGAAACGGAAAGAGCGCTTCAGCAACAGACGCCGAAATTACTCACACCACCGTTCGCACTGGGAGCCTTGGCGTTGGGAGCTTGTTACGTCACCCCTCGCTCTTGGGAGCCTTGGTGTTCAGAGATTGTTGCGTTGCCGCCCGCTCCTGAGCCTTGGCTGGACCTTGGCGTCAGGAACTTGTTACGTTACCGCTCTCTGCTGGGAGCCTTGGTCCTATCAACTTGTTTACGTCACCGTTCGCTCTTGGGAGCCTTGGTGTGAAGAGCTTTTTGCGTTACCGATCGCTCTTTATTTGGCGTCTCTGGGCCTTCCTGGGAGTCCTATTGGGGCCCTTTTGGGGGCCTCTGGGGGCCTCTTGGGGGCCTCTTGGGGCCTCTTAGGAGCCTCTTGGGGCCTCCTGGGAGCGTCTTGGGGCGAAAGGCTAGACTTTCGCGTTCGTGGTCCCCCTCTTGGGGCCGTCTTGGGGCCCTCTTGGGCCGTCTTAGGCGCCTCTTGGGCCGTCTTGGGGCCCTCTTGGGCCGTTTTGGGGGCCTCTTGGGAGCTTCTTGGGCCGTCTTGGGGCGGTCTTGGGGGCCTCTTGGACCGTCTTCAACGCCGTGAAAGCCGAAAAGCCGTGTATGCTACAAATGCACGTTTCCCTAAACGGAAAACAATGATTTTGGCCTCCTGGTGGCCTCTTGGAACGCCTCTTGGGGGCCTCTTGGGGCTTCTTGGGGGGCTCTTGGAGCCTCCTGGGAACGTCTTGGGGCGAAAGGCTAGGCTTTTCGATTCGTGGTCCCCCTCTCGGGGTCGTCTTGGGGCTCTCTTAGGCCGTCTTGGGCGCCTCTTGGGCCATCTTGGGCCGTTTTGGGGGCCTCTTGGGAGCCTCTTGGGCCGTCGTGGTGCGGTTTGGGGGGCCTTTTGGGCTGTCGCCGACGCCGTGGAGGCCGAAAAGTCGCGTATGCTCAAAATGCATATTTCCCTAAGGAAAATCAAGGATGTTGGCCTCTTGGGGCCTTGGGCGCCTCTGGGGGCCTCTTGGAGGACGTCTTGGGGCTGTCTTGGGCGGTCTTGGAGCGCTCTTGGGCCGTCTTGGAGGTATCTTGGGACTTTTTGGGCGCCTCTGACGGTCCAACAAGCGCCCAAGAGGCCTCCAAAACGCCCGAGCGGCCACTAACACTCATCCCCCCGCCCCTCCCCCCTCCCCTGGACCCCTCCCTAGAGGGCTTCGCCCAAACACAACGTCATCACTAGTACCTCGCTCTTTCCGTTACCTGGGCCGGCACGGGAACGGAAAGAGCGGACCAGGAACTTGCCCGAGAGGGCTCACAGCACCCTTCGCTGTCTGTTGGGAGCCCTGGTGCCCAAATACTTTTACGTTGCCTCTGGTTCCTGGAAGCCTTGGTGTTGAGAGTTGTGTACGTCACCGCGCTCTGAGGAGCCTCGGTGTTCAGAGCTTGTTGCGTCACCGCTCGCTGTGGGGAACCATGGTGTTCCTTAGCGTCTCTGGGGCTTCTTGGGAATCGATAGGGGGCCCTTTCTGACAGTTTTGGGACTCTTGGGCCGTCTTTGGGCCAGCCCAGTCCCTACACCCAAGCAGCCCAAACCTCATACCGCCTCTTCGGGCCCGCTTGGGGGCCTCTTGGGGCCCTCTTGGGGCTCTCTTGGGGCGTCTGGGGGCCCTCTTGGGACGTCTTGGGGCCCTCTTGGACCGTTTTCGGCCCCTCTGGGGGGCCTCAACCCCAAACACCTTCAACCACCTTAGGGAAATCAATGTTTTGGGCCTCCTGAGGCCCTCTCGGGGGCCCCTCTCCTGAAGCCCCAAACACCTTCCAAAACTACAGAACAATCAACATGTTTTGCCTCTGGGTGCCCTCTCGGGAGCCCTCTGGACAGCCTCTGGAGCCGTCTCGAGAGTCTCTTGGACCGCCTGGAGGCCATCTGAAGCTCTCTTGGGGCCGTCGTGGGGCCCTCTGAAGCCGTTTTGGGGCCCTCTTGGGCCGTCTTTGGGCCCTCTGGCCGGTTCAGCCGAATGAATAAAAAGAAGCAAGACATGGGAGCCGCCCGGGAGCCGCTTCACTGGGAAACGGCCCCCCGAGCCGCTTCACTCGAAAAATAAATAAAGGAAACGGCCCCCCGGCGGCCATTAGATCCAATGTCTCCGGGCTTGCCCCCTCCCACGGACCCCCTACAAGGGCTTCGCCCCAATCGCAACGTCTCTCGCTCGTACCTCGCTCTTTCCGTCACCTGCTCGGCGCAGGGGCGGAAAACGCGTGTGCTTTGTGAGGGCGCGAGGTTGCTGGTCTTGGAGTCGTGCTGGTGTCAAAGGCTGTGGCACGACATACAAAAATCTAGCAACGAATCTTGCGAATTGCATTACTGGGCCCTCCTGGGGGTCCTTTTGGGGCTCTTGTGGGCCGTATTGGGGCCCTCTTGTGCCTTCCTGGGGCCCTCTTGGGCCGTCTCTTGGGCCGTCTCTTGGGCCGTCTCTTGGGCAGTCTTGGGGCCCTCTTGGGGACATCCTGTGGCACTCTTGGGTCTCCTTTGGGAACCGATTGGGGCCCTCAGGGGTTCTTAGGCTTCTTGGGACACTTGCGCCGTCTCTGGGCCCACTTGGGGACCTCTTGGGCCGTCTGGGGTTCGATCTTAGGGGGTCTCTTGCGCCATCCTGGACGCTCTTCAAACCAAAGAAGCGAATGTGCTAAACATGTACCTTGACAAACCTGAAGAAAAACAAGGCTTTGGGCCTCCGGCGGCCCTCTCAGGCTAGTTTGAAGGCCGTTTTGGGGCTCTTGGGCCGTCTTGGGGCCAGCCCAGTCCCTACACCCAAGCAGCCCAGTCCCCACACCGCCTCTTCGGGCCCCCTTGGGAGTCTGTTGTGAGCCTCTTGGGGCTCTCTTGGGTCTCTCTTGGGGCCGTCTTGGGGCCCTCTCGGGCTGTTTGGGGGCCCTCTTGGGCCGTCTGGAGGCCCTCTTGGACCGTTCTCGGCTTCTTTGAGGGGCCTCTGGGGCTGTCTTGGGACGAGCTCTTCGGCCGTCTTGGGACGATCCGTGTAGCTAGCCTCTTGGGCCGTTTTGGACCGTTCTTGGACCGAAAAGTCAAGAACCCCAAGCACCTGCAAACAACTATAGAATGATCAATGTGTTTTGCCTCTGGGGGCCCTCTCGGGAGACGGCCTCTGGAGCCGTCTTGAGGCTCTCTTGGACCGTCTGGAGGCCATCTGAGGCTCTCTTAGGACCGCCTTGGTGCCCTCTTGGGCCGTTTAGGAGCCCTCTGGGGGCGTCTTGGGGCCCTTGGGCCGCGTCATTTGAACAAATACTAGCACACGTGCCATGGGAGCCGCCCGGGAGCCGCTTCACTCGAACAAATACGAAGAAATAAGCCATAGGAGCCGCCCAGGAGCCGCTTCAATCGGAAAAGTGCAAAGACAGCTTGTCATTACCATTCAACTTTTTTTTTTTTTTACCTCGCGTCGACCACGGTGGCTGGATGCCTCGACAACTTCGCATGGCCACTGCCCCCGGACATGGAGGGAAGCCGGGCTGCGTGGGCAGCCGACCACCAAAGAATACGGAGACGCGATCAGGCACGTGGCAGGGACAGCGAAAGAGCACCCGAGACAATTATTGCCCGGGGGCCAGGGCGGAAATGTTACTTAAGACCGGGTTTTTCGAAGGCACGAGAAGGAGGGGGAGGAGGAGGCGGAGAGGAGGAGGAGGAGAAGGAAGGAGAGCACTGAGCAAAGCCCTGAGGGTCATCGCCAGCCGACTCCTGTGAGTCTGGGCGCCCCGCTGACCAGAAGAAGGCGTGCTCCCAAGGTGTCGCGCTCATTGGCGAGTCAGTACATTACACGCGGGAAGAAATGTGATGGGCAGCGACCACGGACGACAACGACGAGGAGCGGAGGAGAGGAGGGGGGAACTAACTCAGCTTTGCCACACTGCGGCCACGAGCGATGCGAGGCGAGGATGCGCAGCACAAGCTTCCCTAGCGTACTGCCACATGGCCTCCCACGCGTTGGAGGTGGCCCCGTGGCGCGCCGCTGTGGATGCCGCGTAAACGCAATACACCGCCAGGGCACGGCGAGCGATAGCGCTCGCCGTGTCTTCGGAAAAACGGGGGGAGAGGAGCAGAAAGTGAGACAAGCGCTCGCCGGGTGGAGGGGCAGTCAGCGCCAGCTGCCTGCGCCCGAACTCCGCGACCCTGGAGCAGTGGATGTAGTGCTCGACGCTGTCCTCCCCGTGTCCGCATGCAAACGCGCAAGGCGCTGGCCTCTGCATGCGGCGCCCTGTAGTCCAGCCGTTGCACATGACGCGGTAGACCGATGCCCACACCCGCGGGGGCACCAGCGGCGCCAGGCCGCGGAGCGCGAGCGTCGCGCGCTCCAAGCGCGAGCGTCGCGCGCTCCAAGCGGCGCCCACGGAGCACCGGGAGTTGGAGACGAGAAAGGCAGCGGTCGAGGTGGCGGACGGCGCCCTGCGGGCGCGGGTCCGCCAATATAATCCGACACCGCTTCTGCCATTCAGACCTCGGCGCTGGTTCCGGCGCGTCGCCCTGAACCAATGCCTCGACCGACACTCTGGCTGCTGCTGCCTTGTGTTCCAGATGGCCGCGCGCGTTTGTGAGGTTCGTGAAGAAATTCTGGCCGTACCAGCCGCTCCAGGCAACCAAACGATCCAAATGATCAGAATCCAGTCGGAGTGCGTCCAAAAAACGAGAACGACGACGTACCTGAAGTCCTCCATGAGCTGTGTTCTCCCATCGATATACCCGGCACTTGGCCGCGATCGCCACGGATGCTGCGTCGACCAATTCCGCGTGAAACCCCAAGGACCGCAAGCTCCGGAGCGCCGCTGGGGTAGTCCAGCAGCGGGGGCCGGGGAAGAGGAGGACGCATGCCTGCTGCTCCACAACGTCCCAATTGGACGGCAACTGGTCCAGCTGCAGGAGGAAGGAGAGCACGGGGAAGATGTAGGTGCGGTAAGCCAAGAGGGTCAGCATCATTCCGCAGCCGATGCCCCGCCACACCTTGGCCCGGGAAATGAACTTGTCCAAAGCCTTTGTCCACGAATGTTCACCGCGTTCCGGACCGACGACGAAGCCCAAGTAAGTTGCGTACCGGCGGATGGTGAAGTCGCTCCACGTGGGCGCGGCCACTTGGAGACGCTCTCTCACGCGGTCGGTTGATTCCAGTGCCAATGGAACCCAAACCGTTTTTCCGTGGTGTAGTCGCAGCCCCGACAGTCGCTCGTACTCGTCGAAGGTGTGCTCAAGAATGGAAGCGTCCCCCGTCCCGCGAACCAGGCCGAAGGCCAGGTCGTCGGCGTAGGCGCGAGGAACGGCGTCTGGGATGAGGCGCGGGAGCCTCCGCAAAAGAACATCCGAAAGCACGGCGAAGAGGAGCGGGGAGAGGGGGCAGCCCTGGCGGACCCCCGCGGTGAGCTCGAAGCCGTCGAAAGTGGACCCGCCGTGCGCGATGCGGCACCTGTTGTTCCGATACAGCGCTTGGATGAAATGCGCGCACCATGGCGGCCAACCCCGGGCCGCGATGACATCAAGAAGGAACTCCTGGCTGACGCTCGGGAAGGCCGCCTCGAAATCGAAGAAGACCATGGCGGACGAGTCGTACTTAAGCGAGTGGTGGAGCATGAACTCTTCGACGTCCATGAGGTTTGCAAGCATCGAGCGCCCATGCAGGAACCCCCGCTGGCAATCGGAGACCCCGGGGGCAACGGTGGGCTCAATGTACATGCGGACCGCGCTGCATATAATTCTGTTGTCTGTATTCGTGATGTTCAAGGGCCGCATGTTCGAGGGGACATAGAACTCGATGCCGTCTCCAGTAATGCCTGATGGCTTCTTGGGGAGGAAGACCATGGAGCTCTCATTGAACGAGTCCCAGTCCGAGTCCATCAGCGCCGCGCCACTGGGGCTGGCGATGGCCAGGAAGGCCTCGTACAGAGCTCTCGTCGCGAAGCCGCCTAAAGCACGCCATGCGCGGAACGGGATCCCATCTGGTCCAGGAGAGCTGTTGCTCGTGTGCTGGACCGCCCGCTCGAAGGTCTCGAAGGGCACGGCGACGCCGGGCACGCACTGGCGGTCTGCCAGCGAGGCGTGCGAGGCCTCGTCTGCAAGCCAGGTGCGGCGCAAGGTTGTGTCCGTTTCCCGTCTGCGGAAGACCCCAGACCAATGGTCGCGCAGAACTCCTGCGAAGTGCTCTGGTGATGTGCTCACGTGGCCAGCGCTGTCACTGAGCGCGCAGTGGGAGCAGCCGCGGCCAGGAGACAAGCGTGTAAGAAGACGATGGTTCTGATGTCGCCGCCGCGCCGCCTGCGCATCAGAGAGGTCCTTCAAGTCGGCGTGGAGCCTGCCCAGCTCGTCGATGGCGTGATCGCGAGCAAGGTCGGCAGCGTGAACTCGGACCAGCCGGAGGCGACGGCCAGGGCTCGTGTGGAAGTCGTAAGGGTTGCCCACGAGATCCTTCAAGATGGGATACCGCTGGATGCATTGGCTGACGCCGCCTGCCGAGCCCTTTTCTGAGGCGCGGAGGAATTTCATGGTGACCCCGGGGCGATCCTCGTGCGCAAGCGGGCCCGGCGGACCCGAAGCCTCGAAGCCGAAGTTCTTGGCGGCCTCGCGCATGGCCCGCTTGAGTAGCACGAGCCGCCGTGGAGGCGAGGCGGAAGGTTCGCTGTCCAGCATCTCCTGCCACGCGAGCGCCACTCTGCGCGGCCATTCGGGGTGATCCAATGTGAGGTCCGATATCGGGGCGCATGAGTCGGGTTCCCGCTGCGGCAGTGAACGCCGAAAGCTGACGGCTCTATGTCGAGATAGCTCTGACTGCCACTCCAATGCAGCGCAAGTTAGCTTCCGATCAAAGCCTTCCACCACGGCCTGATTACAGTAAATGCGGTCCAGGCGCGATCGGGACGAAGGCGAAGCATGCGTCATGTCGGGTTGGTGGAGCTCGTGGAGGCCATGAGGAAGTCCCAAATGTCGGTGCCAACTTGCCTCTTCCCCGCGATCCCGCCCACCCGTGACGGCAGCGGTGGAGGTGCAGCGTCTGTCGCAAACGTCCGCAACATAGTTGAAGTCTCCTCCGAGGATCGTGAGAACCTGGTCCCTGGAAGCGATGTGCCGCGAAAGCCGCCGTCGGAGAGCGTCTCGGAGTTCGGGGAAAGATGGGGGGCGGCCCAGGTGAGACAGCCCTGCAGCCTCGATGTCTTCTGGGGAGGCGGCAGCACCAGTGTGGAAGTATACGACAACAACGTCCAGATTGCCACTGGGGCCTCGCAGATGTAGTACTGCAGCACGACCCGGGAGAATGATCTGCCAGTGAGGGTTCGCCGCAAACTGCTTGAGGAAGGAGTTCTTGATCGTCGCCCCCACTCCTGCCCTGGCGGGCGTGGGGCCTGGTGACCACCAAGATGTGCAAGCATCGGGGTTTCTCCACACCTCATTGCCTCCATTGGACCCGTGCGTCTCGGTCCAGAGGCCGATATCGTGGGTGGCCATCAACTTCCTCACGTAGGTCGCCTTCCGGCGATGACGGCCGGGGTCCGCGGCGAAGAGGGCCTGGGTGTTCCATGTGATGACGGAGACATCGCCGAGGTACGGGCTGTGGGCGAGCGAAGGCTGACCTCTGGGTGCGCGAGTGCGTGGAGGCAGCGCTGCAGGGAGCGCACTGGGGCGCAGCGCGCGCCGAAATGCGTTCTGAAGCCGAATCTGGACCGGAACGTCCGTCATGGAGTCGTCGGGCAGCTGATCCATAGAGGTAGAAACATGATGAAAAAGATGAAGAAGTGCAAGTGCAGGTAGCTGAGTAGATGTACGCCGAGAACGTTGAGAAGAAGGTGACGAAGAACAAGACGACGTGATATGCCCACTCATGCTGTAGGGAGCGCGGCGCTGGGAGCCCGGGCCGGCACTAGCCGGTTGGAGCTCGAAGGCGACGTCCACGAGCCAACATGAGGTACCCTTGCAATCAAAAATCTGAATTCCATAGCTCGTCGAAGGCGCTGGGGAGGTCACGCGGCGGCGGGGGAGGCAGCCCCCTGCCCCCCCCGCCGCCTGTTTCCCGGCAGGGTGCGAGAGTCCTGGACGTCGTTGGACACCCTGATGGCCAAGAAGTCCACGCCGACCTGGAGCACCTGACCATGCAACGAGCGATACACCTGCTGGACATCTTCCTGTGAGTGTAGGTACACGCGTGCGCGGCCAGGATGAGCGCTAGCGTCCCGAGAAGCAAGATGGACCCACTGTCCTGGCCGTGGCACCTGACCTGGGGGGGCCGCGGAGAGCGCCAGGCCCGTGGCAGCACAGACGTGAGACAGGAGCTGATTGATGACCACGCTTCCGTTGTCCCCGGTTTCCCCGGCGACGGTGATCTCCGCGATGTTGTCACACATGGTGGAGCTGCGACCGCCGCGCCCCCGCTGGCGACGGGAGGCAGCGAGGGCGAGAGCAGTAGCGGATGGAAATGCCCAGGGACGGCCGCCATAGCTGCTGGCCTTGTGCTTAATGTTCGTGATCGCGTGGTTCTCATCCTCCTGGAGGCCCCTGTCGAGCAACGCGGTCCACGACTCCACGGAGGCCGACGTGAAGACGAGCACCCTGTCGGATGAGAGGAAGATCGCTTGTGAGCACAACGGCCACGCACGGACCAGTCCCAGCGGGCTGTTGCACTCCACCACGAGGGCGTCTGGAGACGTGTACAGCTCCTTGTGCCCAAGGTACATCTGCTCAGTCAGCACGGTCCTCCGCAGGAAGCGCATGGCGAGCATGGAACCCGCCTCGGAAAGAGAGCTCGGTAGAATGATCTCCACGCACACGCGCGGGACCTCCGGAGTGCTGCCCCAACTTCTGGAGGTATGCCGGCAGAGGAAAGAAACACCATGGTTGGTGACCTCGGGGCTGAGCATCTTGATCATGAAGTTCGGGAAGAGCTGAGTCGGGACGTCGACCCAAAAAGAGTTCACCGCGGGGAGCTGGAGCAGCGGGGCCAAGGGGGAGAAGACGGTCGGTGACGATCGGTGTCCTGCCGTGGTGATGGTGAAGCTCGCGAGGCCCTGCCGTACATGCCGGGGAGCGGACCTTCCTGGGAGGATGTACTCCACAGGCTGCAGGATGATATCCACGGCACGGACCAACGAGATGTACAGCGGCTTCTCGCCGAGGAGCGGGTGCCACCAGAGGTCGAAAAGCTTGGCCGGAGAGTCGACACCAGGAAAATGGGGGATCGGAACCAGAAGCGAAAGTCGCTGAGGGCGAAGTGCTGGATCGGGCTGTCGGAGTAGACCGGCAAGGATCCTCTGGAGCGCATTGGTGTCCACCGGTGCCCAAGCCAAGATCTGTTGCCCCCCCATCTTCTCCAGGGCCCGCGTGTCGCCCTTCTCCAAGAGTGTGGCCAATTCGCGGTGCTGCTCCAGTATGACCGAATGGTCCGTGGTAGTGTTGCTGAGGAGCTGGGACCACTGCGTGGCTAAGGTGGCGTCTGCGCATGTTGGGATGGCGCGGGCTGCCTGTAGCGCAGACGCTCCCAACTCTTTCCATCGTGGGAGCTCGGAGGGACGGAGACGGCGACGCTCGCGCAAAACCTCGTCCAACTGCTCCGCGCACCGCGCGCCAGCGGTCGCGAAGTGAGCAGCGGCCGCCTCCGCGCTCGCTCTCCCAGCCGGGTCCCAATCGGCAGCCTGACCGAGGGAGCACAGGATGGTAGCCGTCCGCGTGCGACTTGCGATGCCCTGCTCGGTAGGCGCGGGGCCGTCGAGTGGGCCGAAACCCAAGACATTCCATGGGTTGGCGGAGACGGGGTTGTAGGCTAGTTTCAGCAGAATGGCGCGGAGGGCCTCCCAGGTGGAGGGAATCTTGATGGGGAGATTCTGCAGGTCCTGCGGCAGCGTCATGTTGGCGGCCTGCACCAGCCCAAAATGCTGCGCCATTTCATCATCCATGAATTCCGCGAGCCATGCGTCCGGAAGAGGGCCGTGGCCTGGTAGTCCAGGAGGGGGTTGCACGGCAAGGTTCGCAGCAGCCTGGGTGAGGCCCGTCGCGTCGTCGTCGCCGGAGGCGCCACCATGTGCGGCGCAGAAAGCCAAGCCCGGCAGCGCCTCGCCCTGCACCCCATGGCGGAGGCAAACCTGGCACGGCGCCATGGCAGAGGGAAGGTCGGGAGTGCAACTGGGAACTAAACTTTTAAGACGACTGTGCGCGGCTCTTGAGCCCTGTGCTTGAGCCAGTCATTACCATTCAACTGCGCACGCATCACCCCTCCTGGACCCCTTCCTTAAGGGCTTCGGCGGAAATCGGCCGGCTAGCGAGCCTCCGATAAGAAATCGGAACCCAAATCAAAACCCGAATCGGAACCCCAAGTCGAATCGAATCGAAATCGGAAGCAACCGAAATCGAATCGAATCGAATCGGAGGAATCGAAACGAGCTCTGTTGGGAGGGGGGGCTGCGAGGGCCCGCGCCGATCGACAGAACAATGCGTACGAGAACGATCACCGAAATGCGCGGTTCCCCCCCAGTCCGTAGGCGACCCGAGGAGGAGGAGGAGGAGGAGGAGGAGGAGGAGGAGGAGGAGGGGGAGGAGGAGATGGACAAGGAAGAGTAGTAGTAGTAGTAGTAGTAGTAGTAGTAGTAGTAGTAGTAGTAGTAGTAGTAGTAGTAGTAGTAGTAGTAGTAGTAGTAGTAAAAGTAGTAGAAGTAGAAGTAGTAGTAGTAGTAGTAGTAGTAGTAGTAGTAGTAGTAGTAGTAGTAGTAGTAGTAGTAGTAGTAGTAGTAGTAGTAGTAGTAGTAGTGGTAGGAGGAGGAGGAGGGGAGGAGGAGGGGGAGGGGGAGGAGGCAAGCTAGGTGCGCTCGCGTCAACATCTGACATCCTACCCCTCCCTCCCATCCCACCGAATCGGGCTTCGCATCTGACCCTGTTACCTAAGAGGGAAAGGTGGAGGACGACGGCGCGATGAAAACGAAGACGACGACGACGACGAAGACGACGACGACGACGACAACCACGACGACGACGACGACGACGGCGGCGACGACGACGACGACGACGATGAGGACGACCGGCGACGAAGACGGGACGCCGCCCAAAAGGGGGGGGGGGCTTTCTGCGGCCCCAAAAATCAACGAATCGACACCGGATGTGTAATCACCTCCAATGTTTTTGCCGGGGATCATTTTCTAGATTTGGGGCTTCTTAAAAAGGATCGAAAACGTCGGCGCTGCAGCGGGAGCACGTTTTGGAACAACGAGAGGCGCAGAAATTGGGCCAGCGCTGCAGCGGGAGCACGATTCGGAACGAGCGGGAGCGCGGAAATGAGGCCAGCGCTGCAGCGGGAACACGATTCGGAAGGAGCGGGAGCCCGAAAATTAGGCCAGCGCCTCAGCGAGAGCAGCATTTTAGAAAAAAACACAAGCGAAAACCCAACTCCGGGGAATCCTGTGTGTAAAAAAACAGTACGCGGGGGGGTGCCGAGTATCTTCCGGACGTCATCAGGGGAAGTGGGAGAGTAGTATTCATATTGTGTAATTGTAGATGGACAATGGAGAGTAGTAGTAGTAGTAGTAGTAGCAGCAGCAGCAGCAGCAGCAGCAGCAGCAGCAGCAGTAGTAGTAGTAGTAGTAGTAGTAGTGGTAGTAGTAGTAGTAGTAGTAGTAGTAGTAGTAGTAGTAGTAGTAGTAGTACTAGTAGTAGTAGTAGGTAGTAGTAGTAGTAGTAGTAATAGTAGTAGTAGTAGTAGTAGTAGTAGTAGTAGTAGTAGTAGTAGTAGTAGTAGTAGTAGTAGTAGTAGTAGTAGTAGTAGTAGTAGTAGTAGTAGTAGTAGTAGTAGTAGTAGTAGTAGTAGTAGTAGTAGTAGTAGTAGTAGTAGTAGTAGTAGTAGTATAGTAGTAGTAGTAGTAGTAGTAGTAGTAGTAGTAGTAGTAGTAGTAGTAGTAGTAGTAGTAGTAGTAGTAGTAGTAGTAGTAGTAGTAGTAGTAGTAGTAGTAGTAGTAGTAGTAGTAGTTAGTAGTAGTAGTAGTAGGAGGCAGTAGTAGTAGTAGGAGAGGAGGAGGAGGAGGAGGAGGAGGAGGAGGAGGAGGAGGAGGACGGGTCGCCTAAGCCCTTCGGAGAAACCCTCCACACCGAAAGGGGCGCCCTGCCTGCCGCACAACTGCGGTGTTCTCGGGCGCCCTCCGCGGGGGGCCTCACGGCCGCTCCCGGCATGGCCGTGCGGAACAGGCCGGCATCCCGCGGCTCCCCCCCCACCCAAGACTGGGGAAACCAACAGATACCGATGCAGCAGGGGGGCCTTCCACAAGAAACCTTCCACAAGAAGCCCAACCCTGATACCCCACGACGTCCACTGATTCTCGGTGCGGAGGCGTCACGCTCTAGAGGCCCAAGAAACCCATGGCACACTGGAGGCAAGCAGGGTGCTTCTTGGCATGGGTCTCCACTGTACCACTACTCCCTGGACCTCTCCCGGGGTGCGTTGTGACCAGGATTTCGAGGCGAATCCAGCGGTGGCGACGAGGGCCGCCGAGGAGGCCCAAGAAGGGGGAAACGGGGAAGGGTAAAGGTATGGGTGCCTCTTCCTCCTCAGAAGGACAGCCTCAAGAAGGCCCCAAAGACGGCCAGGCCAGGAGGGCCCAAGACCGCTTCCAAGACGGTCCCGAGACGCCTCCGAGGCGGCCAAGAGATGGCACCCAGGAAGCCCAAGGTGCCCTCCTGACGAGACGGCCCAGGAGGCCTCCAAGACAATCCAAGAGGGCTCCGAGAGGACATCCAGGAGGACAGCAGCAGTGATCTTCGCAATACTTGCTTCAATGATTTTGGGCCCTTTCGGGCTTCGGAAGCTCCAAGACAGCCTCATGAGCCACCGAGATCGCCCGAAGACGGCCCAAGAGGCCCTCAAAAGGCCCGCAAGACAGCCCAAGAGGGTGCCAAGACGACCCAAGAAGTCCCCAAGACGACCTCAAGACGGCCCAACAGACCCCCAAGGCGGACCTAAAGCGCCCAAAGAGGGACGCACGACTGTCCAGAGATGCCTCCAAAAACCTAGACCACAGGAGGCCTCCAGGAGGCCCCAGGAGGCCCCCAGGAGGCACCTCAGAGGCGCTCAAGAGGCTTGAAGGAAGCCTCCGAAAAGCTACAAGACGGCCTCAAGATGCCTCCTGTTCCTCCTCATTCTCCTCCCCCTTTTCCTCTTTTCTCCTTCTCTCCCAGGTGTTCCCCCCTGGGGATGCCACAACGTCAGGGGGAACACACAGCACAGCAGCTTGGACGGACTGTGGCCCAACGTTTGGCTGCATGGGCACTTCCAAGAGGCAGGGGGCGGCGATGGTTCGCCGTAGGCGTCTTCGATACGCCCGTAACAATGTTGAGCACACAGAGGAGGCCAAAAGCTATGAATACGGCGAAGGCCGCACCCATAAACGGGCTGATCTCGACCAATGGATCAGCCACCTCAGTCCAGCTTATACCGCCGGTGATGGACTTGTACAGGGTGAAGAGGGAACTGAACATCGTACCGTAATACTTTACGAGATCATCGGCGCCTTTGTCAGAGATGCCGCTCTCCTCCTTCTGCGAATTGTGGATCGCCAACTCCTCGGCGACGATCTGCATTACGGATGTGGCGACGACGAACATCACCAGAAACAGCAATACCAGCGCCCATACCAACGATTGAAGAGAGCCGAGTATGCCTGCCACCATGATGCGCAGATCCTGGAAGAAACGCAGCAACCGAATGATCCGAATAATACGAGCGAGGCGCAATATCCTCAACAACCGCACCGCTGACAAGTCCAGCGAGATAGCTCGCGAACGCTTCAACGCTTCGTCCAGGATGCTCGTAAATCCGCCGGCCCCCTTCGGGGCCAACAGGCTGCGAGTTGGAGGTGCTCCCACTCCCTGCAATAGTTCCAGCCCCCAGTGGTACTCAAACACTGCTGTTTTTGGGTCGGGCATGTCCTCCTACAGGCAGATGTTGGTCGAAACATGAAAAATAATCAGAACATGTTCAAACATATTCAGCACACACTCGAAAGATCGTCCCGCGACTAGTTTTTGACTATTCGTGAGTATCCCTCCTGTAGGGAGACATGCCCGAGTTAACGCCAATTTCTGGGTGCCGCCGCCGACGTTCCAAGGCCCGAGCGAGGCCCCCTCGTTGTCCTCCCCCTCCTCGTCCTCCTCCTCCTCCTCCTCCTCCTCCTCCTCGTCCTCGTCCTCCTCCTCGTCCTCCTCCTCCTCCTCCTCCTCCTCGTCCTCGTCCAATGTTGTTCACGGCTGAAGTCCGCGCGGGGAGCCCAGGCCGAAGTGCGCCCCGGTCCCTCCTCGAGGTCAGACCCTCGGAGTCCGGTGGGGGTGCCCTGGACAGCTCGGACCACCGACGTACCAGACTGTCCCAGCCCAACCCGAAGACCCGCATTAGTCCCGCATTTCGGGTTTGGGGGGCCGCTTTAGTTTTTGTTGCTCCTGGTTCGGGGCGGGCCGGTGCTGCGCGAACGGGTTTGCGTGGGAGCTACCCGTCGCGCAGGGTCGACCCGCAAAAACTGCCACAACAGAGCGCGCGCACGCAAAACACCTTCGGCGACACACGCGCTCCGTACTTAGGCGCGCCGGCGGGGGGTACGAGCTTCAGATGTGCTGTGTCAATGCTCCCCGACCCGCCCACCCCGCCGGAAATGGGGGGCAGGTCGGGGCCTTCGGGTTGGGCTGGGGTGGCTTGGTGGGCGGTGAAACTCGACGACGGCATATTCGACCCCCCGTAGTCATACTCTCTAGTAGAGTAAAACGGAGCCGCGCTCCCGAGGGCACAATCGTGTCGGACGCTACGCCAGACTCGCGCTCACGAGGCCACGACTCTTTTTTAATGTGCAACGAGCTTGCGGCTCTGAGGCAAGAATCCTTCATAAACCTCGCGGGATTGTCGCTTCCGCAACCGCCACCCCTTGTAACTTGCAACCCGCTCGACTCCCCGAGGCCAGAATCCATTGTATTTCATACGGCATGGCCGCGTCCTCGAAGCCACATCCCTTCGCACATCACGGCGCAGTCGAGCTCCCGAAGCAACAGCCCGGTGTGATTTGCTTCGCGCTGGCGCTCCAGAAGCCGGACTCTGACCCGTGCTGCAGCGCGCTCGCGGCTCCGAAAGCAGCAGCTCCTGGTAAGGATATTACGCCGCGGTCGCGCCGCATCGACGCCACAAGCGCCTCACTGTACATTGCGGCCGGGTCGCGCTCCCGAGGCCACGGCCCCCCTCTGCGAGCATGAAACAAGGCTCCCGCGCTCCCCGGGCTCCACATCCCACTGGAACCACGCGGCCCTACACCTAAGTCGGGCATGTCCCCCTACAGGCGGTTTTTTCTGAGGAATCAATTTCAAACGTACCCCAAACATACTCCAAAAATCGTCAAACATAGTCAAAAAGTCGTCCCCAGACTATTTTTTTAATATTCCTCCGGTAGAGGGACACGCCCGACTTCACCCTACACTTACCAACACTCTTAGGTCCCCGCAAGTACGACGAACCTGTGCTCCCGAAAGCCGTGTCTGCTCGCAAGCCTCGACGCGCTCCCGCTCACGCGGCCGCAACCTCTAGAAAAGTGTAAGTCGCTCGCGCTCGAGGCAGCAGTCCCTTTCAAAGCAGGTCACGCTCGAGGCACCACGACCCCTAGTAGAGTACAACGTGCTCGTGCTCCCGAAGCCACAATCCCTCGTCACTTACGGCGCGATCGCACTCCTGAGGCCACGGAGCTACCCACGGAGACTGCCCAAAGGCCCCCCCCTCCCCCTCCAAAACCGACAAACCTGAGACCCTGGCGTTGCATGTGTTTCCATACCGGGCGTTTTTGCGCGGTTTCGGGCCCTGATCCGGCTCGAAAAATGCAGCAGAAAGATGGGGTCCATGGCTCCAGTGATGATGTTGTGCGATGTTATTTTTTTTTGTATCTGGGAAACTGGAATTTCTGTATTGGGATATGTGTTCGGGGGGCGCTTTTCGCATCGACCAATCATTTCCTGCAACATCGGCCCTTGCTCCGAGGCCGCGAATCCATCAAGATAGCGGGGGATGCGCGCTCCCGAAGCCGCGAACCCTCTCAAATTACAGCAACAGCGCGTTCACGAGGCCATTTACAGATGCGCGCAATCGGCCAGCCAGCCACTAGCCTGAACCAACTGCCATCCATTTATTCGGAAAACAAGCCAATAAGACGACTTGCCAGCCATGCAGCCGACGAGCCAACAAACCAGCTAACCGAACAAGCGCAGCCATGCAAGCAGTCAGAGGGAGCTGAGAGAAACAAACAAACTGCATAACAAATAAACTTTCGGAGTTCCGCGTGGAGCTCGGGAAGCTTAACTGTGTATGCAATTGTTTTTTTTGTTTTTCGAGGGCTTGCGGCAGCGGGCGAAGCCCTTCAAATACCACGAACGTATCGAACAAGTTCCACCTCACGTCAGGGTTGCGGCGCGCCGCAAAGTGCCGCCTCTCTGCAGAGACGCGGAGGGCGAGCTCCGCGCAGAAGCACAGCGTGAAGAAGAGGCTCAGGGCCTCGGAGCTCTCCACCTGAGCATCGTTTCACCGATCCCTATCCCCATTGGCATGGCCTCGGCCTCTCTGGCCGACCTACCCTCCTCGGCTGTTTCGTTCCAGCTTCGCGGGGCCTACCCCCCACCTGCGGGGGTGGGTTGGAGCTGAGGTACCAAGGCCCTGTGGGGATGGGGATGGGTTAGACGATACTGACCACCCGCGCGTTCTCTGGATCCTGCATCGCCCGGTCCGCCTCCCAGCCCATGTGCAGCGCCGAGCCCAAGATCAGCACGGGCACTCCCAGGCGGACCACGGCGCTGTTGAGCAGCCGGACCGACACGCGGCGCTCGACGTCGTGCTGGCCGCGGACCGTGGACTCGTGACTCATGGCCCACTTGAAGCTCCCCATGATGCCCCCGTCACTTTTTGGCGACTCTCCCAGGGTCCACGTCGTCATCCTGGGAGTCCTCTTGCGCGACAGGTCGCCCACGCCCGGGGCGCGCTCCGACTCCCGGGGCATGGTCTGCCCGCACTGCCTGTCCCACGCGCCCCCGTCGGCGACGGGGGACGGCTCCACGAGCGGCGCCTCGTTGCCGCCAGGCTGGCCCTTGAGGCCGCCAGGCTGGGCGCTTCCGCCCGGGTGGGCGCTGTCAGCATCAGGCCCCTCATCATCGGGGGCCTGGCGAAACCAGAAGATACCCGAGACCTCTACTCCCCGGGTCTCTCCCAGGGTGCGTTCTGACAAGAATCCCGAGGCGAGTCCGGCCGTGGCGACGGGGGCCTCCCGGGAGGCCGAGAAACGCGAAAACGGTCAGCGGTGCCGGCACCTCCCCTGAGAGCCGACGCTGCAAACATCAATTGCAACATCGCCCCAACAATCACCGCCAAAACCCCAGACCCCATCGTTCTGCGTCATCTTTCCAGCCGCATCGATCCGTGTGAGGGTCCTTGGGGCCCAGAACATTCAGCGAAAACGCCCCGTGAAAAAGAACTGCAACGCCAAGATCTCCGGGTTTTCCTGTGAGCAGGGACCGACCGTCCCGGCTTTTCTATAGGCGTACCACGAAATTCTCTTAGAACCTAAAAATGTTCGAAGAACGAAGACCATGTTCTTAGAACATAAGCCAGATGTGTTAAAACAAGACAGTCCCAGCCAGAAATGTTCTAAGAACATTTCGTGCAGACCCCAAAAGGTTCTTAGAACGTTCTTTGCTTGATTCTTCCTCTTGAGGGCCATAGGCCGGCCTCCCGCCCGGCCCGCGGCTCCCGCTGCGGCTCGGCGGCGGCGTGCGCAGACGCCGCGTCGCCCTGCCGAAGCCGCCTCCGCCGCCGCAAGGGCGGGGCCCTCCGCGGCTGCGCGCCGTCCGCGCCCGCCGCGGGGTGCTCGCCCGCCTCGCACGGCGGCTCGGCCTCGTCCGCGGACCCCCTGTGGGGCTTCGCGCCGGCGGCGGCGCTGTCCCCGCCCAGGCGCGCCTCCAGCCGGCGCAGCTCCTGCTCCACCTTCGGCGGCAACTCATGGAAGCCTCCCATACCATCTCGTCGGCTCCTGCGAGTCGGCGCTCATCGACGCCAGTCGGCGCTGATCGACGCCAGATCGACGCTAGGTCGACGCTGGGCGACTCTACATCGGCGCTCTCTCCTCGACTCCCAGACGCTCATCGACGCTGGTCGACGCCAAAGACGGAAGGCACAGGGCACGCCGGGCTCCCCATGGTCTGCTGCCGAGCTCCACCGCGCCGCGGAAGGACTCCACGGCGTCCCGCCACGCGGCGGGCTCCGTCGCGGCGGGCCCTGTCGCGCGTGCCTTGGAGCGCGGCGAGCGCGGCGCCGGCGCGGGGGCGGAGGAGGCACTGCTGACGGGGGACGGGTCGCGGCCGCCCTGTCGCGCGGGGGGTGCGAAGGGCACAGCTGGAGAGGCGGAGAAAATGGAGGCGCAGCTCCCAGCGGGCTGCATGGCCCACGGCAGGCGCGGCGCCGTTGCTCTTCGACGATCGTGCCAAAATGGCTGGCGCGGGGCAGGGGGGACCGCCATCCCCGCCCCTTCGCCCCTGAGGACGGCACCTGGGGCACTGGTTGACGAGTGCCCCCCCTCGGAGCTGGGTATGAGGGGAGCCAGGCCATGTTCTAGAAGCCATGCGAGGGGAACGCATTCAACAACTGCTTTGCCTCCCCCATCCCATGGGTCTGAACGGGGTGGGGGGGCCCTGGGGGTTCGAGCGTCGAGTCCAGTCTGGCTTGCGTGACGTTAGCCCAAGACCAGATCACCCTATGCAGCTCAGGATGGCATCCAAGAGGGCGCGAGATAACAGAAGGTTGTTAAAGACAGCTTCCAAGGCCTCCAAGGGGCGCCAAGACGGCCCTCAGACGGCTCAAAGTGGCCTCGTAACATCTCACGGATGGCCCCGAAAGGCCAACACCATTCCTTCAACATCATTCATTCCTTCGGTCTGGCGGCTATGTTGCCGCCGTCGCCGCCCCGTCGCCGCCTCGTCGCCGCCCGTCGTCTGGGCTTCTCCGTCAATTTGGCGACTATGTTGCCGCCGTCGCCGCCCCGTCGCCGCCTCGTCGCCGCCCGTCGTCTGGGCCTGTCTGTCGGTCTGGAGCGCTCCGCCGCCACCTCGAAACCGTCGTCTGGGCCCTCCCCCCGGGCTTAACGGTCCCCCTTTTCGTGATGAAATTTGCATATGATTCTGCCCGCCGTCCATCCTAAATATGAACATGTACCGTCCGAGGCAGACCGGTATCGCCGCCCCGCCTCATCCTCTGAAAAATATTGCGCGCACGGTGATTTACAAAGAAACCAGTCGTTTCATGACTCCAGGGCGCAATGTACACGCGCGTGTCGTCGCTCGCGCGCGCATGCCGAAATCCGTCAAACACCTTAGGTTAATCGAGTGCCCCGAAAAAGTAAATCAACATGGTTTCGCAGCAAGAACTTCCCCCCAAAAACATGTTCACAACATGCTACTAAGCGGGCCTCTCGCGCGCGCGTGCCGAAATCGTTCGAACGCCCTTTTGCGCGCGTGTTGTCACAACACCCCCCCGCACAAACGGAACGAAATACACACGGGCGCGTCGTCGCGCGCGCACTCCGAAATCCTTGCATGAAAAAACCTTGGGTTTCGCTCGGATGTTAGAATCGAGTGTTCCGAAACATATGAAGAATATATGGTTTCGCAAAATCAGTTGTCAAAGATAGCCAGCGTGCGTGCGTTTGCGAATTCTTAAGACACTCGTGGGTTTCTGTATTATTGCAAGTGGTACAATAAACATCGTCGTTGTAACGGCGATACAAAAAACATCGTCGCATGCCGAACTCATTCGAAAGCCATTGCGCGCGTGCTGGGGATAAGCACGATCCATGCCAAATTACGCAATGCGGGCCATTTTCGCGCGTCGGCCGCGCGCGCATGTCGAACTCCTTCCAAAACTTCTCCCGTCGACGCGAGGGCGCCGTCACTGGCCGTGCCGTCGTCGTCGTCAACATCGCCACCAGCATCGCTACTATCATCATCGTGGCAACCGTTGTTACCGTTGCCATGCAACCGCCCCCGGCCAAGTCACCGACTCGCACTGGAGTGCCCGCTGGGAAGTGCCCAGCGGTCAACGCCACCGCGGCCGCGTCGGTGGCGCCGCACTGACTGGCCGCTGCGCCCGCGAGCATGCGCGGTCTAGCGCGGCCGCAAAGATGCACCAGCCAACGCCAAGAACTCTTCGCAATCGCCGCCGCATGGGTTTTGCAAACAAAAATGCGGGGGGGTGGATGGGGTAACTGCGCGAGCAGTGGGGTCGACAACTGACTGCGAGCATTGGCAACTTGCACCACGTAGATTGCGCCGCCAATATCGCGCCACATCGGTTGCACACCAGATATTGCACAACATAAGTTGGACCAGGTAGATTGCTCAACGCATGTTTTTCCCAACAAAAAAAACATATATTCATCTTTCTTCCACGATATGAAGATCTTCCCGCCTGGGATGACAGAAAGCCGACGCCGACACCAAACAAGTTTTTTGTTTTATTAAAAATGGACATGCAATTTGGGCCATTGGGCCAGCGCGAGCCCGTCCTGGCCTTCGGAATCTCGGTGGGTTTGGGGAGGGGGGGAAGGGACATCGCGCAGCGCGCAAGAGGGTAGGAAACAAAAACGCAGACGAAAGGCGAAGTTGACAGGCGTTCTCGGGAGGGGGGGGGGCCGAAGGAAGGATGCGGATTCCTCCATGACCCAGGCCTCCCACTCCACCGCCGCCGTCCTCCGCGCCTCCCCCCATCCGTTTGGCCCCCCTCACTGACGATCCAACAACACACACCCATACCCGTAGGGGGGTCGGAGAAAGCTACGGGTGCGTGTTGTCGGATGGGGGTTCCCGTTCGAGCGGGAGCATTCCCCAGGGTCCGACAACCCGCACCCATACCCATAGCCAGTCCTCCTCCCAACGACCCCCCTATGGGTATGGGTGTGTGTTGTTCGTTTGTCACTCACTGTCTCTTCTCCCCCCTCCCTCCCGCCCCCTGCCCGCCCCTGGCCGCATCCCCGACACCCTGCAGGCCCGAGGCCGACACCCGACGGTTCCGATTCCACCGCCCTCCGCGCCGGGGGGGGGGGGGGCGCGTGGCTGTCCTGCGCGGCCGGGGCCCGAGAACGCGTCGCCTGCTTAACTTCGCAAAACAGGGCTAGGATCGGGATAAATCGCTCCAGAGCGTTCCGGAGCGCTCTCAGAGCGTTCCGGAACGCTCTGGAGCGGCCGCGGCGCCAAATACATCCTTCAAACCCGCCGATTCTCAGAGATTTCAAATTATCCCGATCCGATTTTGTCCCGATCTTCGCGTCGTTTTACTCCGGCCCACAGGCCCTGGCACACTTCCGAAGTCGTCGAGAGGCACCGCTCCGCCCGCCGTTCCCGCGGGGCTCTGGTGCGGTGCCAGCGGCTTTCCAATGTTGCCGGGGACCAAAAAATCGGTACGGGCACCGAGACACCCTGGAAAGTTGGGTGTCCTTTCCCTGCGGGGGCAAGGCGGCCCAGCGGAGCCCGTAAAACGTGAAGTGGCTCGCGTTGCTCGCCGAATTCACAGGCCATGGGGCTCGCATGGTAAAAAACGCCCCATGGTGGGGCACATGGCGATCCCAGGGCCCGTGGGGCTGCCATGGTCCGCGGGGTTCGCAAGGCCCAGAAACCCGACGCGGCCCTGACTACTCAAGGGGCCTATGGGGACCGCGCGGCTCGCCGGGCTCGCGCGGCGCATTGAGCCCATGCGCGTTGCGGCGCCCACGTGGCCAAGGAAACCTTTCTGGGACTTGTGGTGTTCATGGGGCTGGCGAGGTTCGCGCGGCCCACGGGCCGAGCCCGGCCCATGGGAATCCTAGAAAGTTCAGGAGGAAGAAAAGGCCCGCGCTGCTCCCACGCGCGCAGGGCGAACATTCACCGACGCGGGACACGTAAGCCCGAAGACGTGGGCGACGGCATTCAGCAAAAACTCAGGTTTTTCCCACATGGGATTTGGTGTCGGTGTCGGGTTCCGGTGCCCCGACCTCTCCCCTCCCGGACCCAACGAATCCCAATTTGACATGGCTAAATACGTATGTTTCTGTCCCGTCGCCCATTCTAAACATGAGCTCAGAGCATCCCAGCCAAACCGGTAACGGCCCACCCCTCGTCCTTTGGGAGAAAGCTCAGCGCGCGCACCTTCTTATGAAAAAACACACATTTTCCATCGTCCCTCGCAACAGATGGGGGACCAAGTGAACCCGCGAATGCCGTCGCGCGCGCATGCCAAAATCCATTGGAAACTCTAACATCCGCACGGATTCCAACATCGAGTGTCACGAACACATATATGAACGCATGGATTCGCAACGAGGGTGTCAAAAAAACTGGCGCTCGCGTCAAGCGCTACCAAGCGGGCCTCTCGCGCTCGCATGTCGAAATCGTTCGAGAGCCCTTTGCGCGCGTGTTGTCGCAATAACCATTTTACAACAAATGTGGCGAAGTGCACGCGCGCGTCGTCGGGCGCGCACACCGAAATCTTTCAAGAACCACAGGTGCCGCAAGGATTCAAAAAAAGGAAGTAAGAAACAGAAAAAAACGAGTGCCTCGACATCGTATTTAAAAGCACATGGCAGTTTTCGAAAAAGGCCTGCGCTCGCGCCCTTGCAGGTACAAACCTACAGATTATGTCAAACGGGCCTCTCGCGCCGCATGCCGAACTCACTCGAACGCCTTCGCGCGCGTGCTGGGGGGAAACGATCCGTGTCGAGTAATACCTTGCGGGCCACTCTCGCGCATTGGCCGCGCGCGCATGTCGAACTCTTCCACAACCTTCATCGCCGACGCGATGGCGCCGTCATCGTCGTCGGCGTGATCAGCATCGGCGCCGTCACTGGCCGCGCCGTCGTCGTTGTCAACATCGTCACCAGCATCGCCATTATCGTCATCGTGGCAACCGTTGTCGGCGTTGCCATGATACCGCGCCCGCCAAAGTCGCCGACTCGCACTGAAACGCCCGCTGGGAAATGCCCGCTGGGAATTAGCTGGCCGCTGCGCGCGCGAGCATGCGCGGGCTTGAAATGCGCGAGCCAACACCACGCACTCATCGCAATCACCGTCGCATGGGTTTTGCAAAGCGCGACGCGCGGCTATCTTCACGCCCCCGCCGGGCCGACCTGAAAAAAAGGGCACCTCTGCGGCCCAGGCCGCGACGCGCGAAACGCGACCATCCTCGTGCCCCTGCCGGGGGCGACGATGGGGGCGAACAGCCCAGGGGCGAGCCATGTGTATCCAAGAGCGCCGATCGTCCATGCCTTCGGCGAGGCTCCCGGGCGAATGCGTGCAATGCCCGACCCTCGGAGCCTGGAAGCGGGACTCTCGGATCGGACGACAGCAGGAGGGCCCAGAATCGAACCGATAAGTCGGATCGGCGATCGAACTGAATCGGATCGGCGGAAATCGGCAGCTCAGTCAGGAATGCTCGAATCGGCGGCCTCCCAAGAGATCACCACACGCATCGAATTGGAATCTGACCTACAACCAAGGCTCGGTGGCGAACGGGCCGAAGACCACTACATACAAAAAGTGGGAACTGAGAGGATGGCGCGGGTGGTGGGGGTGCTCGCGGTGTGCTCAAGCCTCGCTCTCACAAGGCCTACAAAGGTCAAAGCTGGAACATCGCCCCAGACATACCCCGACACATACACATGCGTTTCAAGGTTCACCAACAAGTCTCCGCTGGGTGACTGCGTGATCAGTGGAGTTGACAGCTCACTGCGAGCACAAGTGGATTTCACCTCGTGGATCGCACCACATCTGCTGCACGACATGAGATGCACATCCTAGGTTGCGTCACATATATTGTTCCACGTACATTGCACAATTTCTGCTGCTAGAATCAGGCTGTTTG